ACCTTGTTGTCTCGGATTCTCCAGCATCTGCAGTTCCTACTATCTCTCATCCTCATCCCTGTTTTAAACTGACCTAATTAATTTTAAAACCCCAATATCCATATGGCACTAGTTTAAAAACCAGCTTCTTAAAAAAAAAATACACAAATCTCTCATGTTTCATCATTGACTAATTATTTGGAACCCTGGGGAACTTTTGTTGCAGATGTTGTATTTTCATGGTGTCTCATAACATGTGGTCATCAACTCTGTCTTTTAGCTATTGTCACTGCATTATCAAGGGAGACAGGAGAGCAAAATAGATAAAGCTTATTTCAACTTCAATCATTTCAGTCTGGACTGTTAATAGGGCAATTTTAAGTTCAGTTTTTTGGAAAGGTCAGAAATGTCAACTCGCCTACGAATTTTTCCATTTGGCATTATAGAACCATAGCCTGAGATGTTTAAATAACACCTCTGATTTGCTGTGGTTAATTTTCAACTTTGCTGTGTGTGTGGCACATCTCTAGATATATTAGGCTGGGGGGCAATGAGTGAATTCACAGCCTGAAAGCAACCTAACCAACCAGAAGAAAGCCACCCCCACAAATGGCAGAATTATGAGGAGCTGTTCCTCCAATCAAAGGTTCTTTATCTAAGCAAGAAAGACATAGGGGAGGAGGGAACTGCAACGGCAATGTTGGGGAGGAAAGACGCTGCCAGGTGTTTGGGGGAGAAAGATTATGTAAGGAAATGTGGGTGTATGAGGCTGTAGTAGAGAAGGGACAGGGAGGCTGCAGTGAAAAAAATGCTGCTTTAAACCTGCCAACAAAAACTACTCAGCCAAAATCAGAGTGAATGAATTCCTTGAAAATTAATGTGGAATTCTCTAGTTTAAAACTCCATAATATTTAGGAGCTACTGTATAGGGAAAATGTAGTGAATGATTTTATAATTAGCTCTGTGTCAATTGTTAAATTTATTCTGAGAATGAGATCTGAGATGCAATAAAATAGTTTTTAACTGGTTAAATTGTTCTATATTTGTGTGTACGCAATGGAAACACTTTAGCTATGACCTTATCGATCTGTGGTAGGTATGTTTGGGGTGATGATGTAGAAATATGTGCCAGTTATTTTGAGGAAAAAAATTTCTCTTAATTTATGCCTGTTGCCTAGTGGCAATATAAATATTGTGATGTCTATGAAATTTAAATTTTCCTTGTGTATTGTTGTCCTAATTTTAATGGAGTGTTGATAATTATTGTTGTAGATTAATTCTTCTAGTTCTGCTGTGTGAGTCCAAATACCCCCCACGAAACATAACTGTAAAAGTATTGTGACCGTGAGTCTGCATCACCTGATAAATGAGTTAGTGAGAACAAGCACCTTGTACAGCTGCAGTAAGACTTTCTACTCTTGTACTCCAATTCCCTTAAAATAAGAGCCAACATTCCATTAGCCTTCCTGATCACCTGCTGTATCTCTACGCTGGCTTTCTGTGTTTCATACACAAGTGCCCCAAGTCC